TAGGGCTTTCCTGTGATTCATTAAATTGCTTGTATGAGATGTTTCAAATTTCTTGAAGGCACTTAGTGCTATGAATCGTCCCCTTAGCACTGCTTTCATTGTGTCCCATAAATTCGGGTATATTGTGCCTTCATTTTCACTGAATTCTAGCAAGGCTCTAACGAATTTCATTCTTAATTTCTTCCCTAACCCAGCTGTTATTGAATAGCAATTTTTTCAGTTTCCATGTGTGAGTATGCTTTTTTGCTATTTCTATTGTTCTTGAGGTCCAGCTTTAGTCCTTGGTGGTCAGATTAGATAGAAGGGATTATTTCAATCTTCTTGTAACTGAAGAAGCTTGCTTTGTGACCAACTTTATGGTCTGTTTGGAGATGGTTCCATGAGGTGCTGAAAAGAAGGTACTCTCTTTTGAATTTGGGTGAAATTTTCTGTAGACATTTATTAGGTTCATTTATTTTAGGATCTCTGTAAGTGCCATTATTTCCCTGTTTAGCTTCTGTCAAGATCATCTTACCCCTGGTGAGAGTGGAGTGTTGAAGTCTCCCACTGTTATGGTGTTGGGATCGATGTGTTATTTAAGCTTTAATAGTGTTTCATTTACAAATTTAGGTGCTCTTGTATTTAGGGCATAAATTTATAGAAATGTGACGTCCTCTTGGTGGATTTTTCTTTTAAGGAAAATGAAGTGTCGACAACTCTTCATATTTTTTTATTAATTTTGGTTGAATGTCTATTTTATTAGATATTAGGATAGCTACCTTAACTTGTTTTCTAGGTCCATTTATGTGAAAACATTTTTCCAGCATTTTACTCTGATGTAGTGTTTATCATTGTTGCAGATGTGTGTTTCTTAGATGCAGCAGAATGTTGGATGTTGTTTCTGCAACCATTCTGTTATTCTGTGTCTTTTTATTGGAGAGTACAGTCCATTGATGTTGATATACAATAATGACCAATGAATGTTAGTTCCTTTTATTATGGAGTTGGTGTTGTTACTCTGTTTCATTTCTTGTTTTCGTTTAATCTTTTGTTGTGAAGTTATCTATATCCTATGTTTTCTTTGGTATAGTTATTTTTTTATTGGAAATTTCCTTCTCGTATCTCTTGAAGGGCTGGGTTGGTGTCTAGCTATTGTTTAAGTTTAGTTTTTTCATGGAATATTTTGTTTTCTCCATCTATGTTGATTGAAAGCTTTGCTTGGTATTAGTATTCTGGTTTGGCATCTGTTGTCCCTTAAAGTATGCATGACATCTCTTCAGGCCTTTCTGGCTTTCATGGTTTCTGATGAGAAATCTGGTGTGCTTCTGATAGGTCTACCATTATATTTCACTTGGCCTTTTTTACTTGTTGTTTTTAATACTTTTTTCTTTGTAATGTAGATTTAGTGTTTTGACTATGATTTGACATGAGGAGTTTCTTTTCTGGTCAGGTCTATTTGGTATTCTGTAGGATTCTTGTACATATATGAACATCTCTTTAAGTTGGGGAAATTTTCTTCTACGAATTTCTTGAAAATATTTTCTGGAACTTGGAGCCTGGAATCTTATTTTTTATATATTCATTTTATACTGAGATTTCATCTTTTCATGAAGTTCTTGATTTCTTGGATGTTTTATGTTTGAACTTTTCTGATTTTAATTTTTCTTTGAGAGAAGTATCAATTTCTGCAAGTGTTTCTTCAGCACCTGAGATTCTCTCTTCCATTTCTTGTATTCTGTTGGTGATGCTTACCTTTGTGGTTTCTGATCTTTTCTCTAAGTTCTCCAGTTCCAATGTTTTCTCTGTTTGTATATTCTTTATTGATTCTAATTCTGTTTTCATGTCTTGCACCATTTCCTTCATTTGTTTGAATGTGGAGTCCTTCTTTGCTATGATGGCTTCAATTTTTTGTTCGTTTCCTCTCTATATGCTGCTATTTTTGACTCTACTTGTTTGGCTGTATTTGCTTGTATTTCTTTGAGAGCTTTTTTTGTTTCCTCTTTATCTGCCTCCATTTGTGTGGTTATTACTTTGAGAGCTTTGTTTGTTTCCTCTTTGGTTGCCTCTACTTGTGTGGCTATTTCTTTGAGAGAGTTGTTCATTTCTTCTTTATGTGCCTCTAATAACTAGCTAAGCATAGCTTTAAAATAATTTTCCTGTGTTTCCGAGGAAGTAAAATATCCAATGACTTTTGGGGTTGCTGGTGAAGCCATGATGCCCTGATTTTTTTTTTTTGTTGTTGTTGGATGTATTCTTTTTTTTTATAAATACAAAAATAATACTTTTATTAATATTTGCCAATGTTTCAAGATACAACTAACATTCATCAAGATTTACAGATACACATTATAAAATTACTTGAAATATATAACAGAATGTAACCATTTATGATATATTTTACTAATAATGGTTAAAGGTATATATAGATATGAAATCATAGAGAAGTAGAATTAAAAATTACCAAGAAAGATAAGTACTTTATAAAGTCAGCTTCTTTGATATACAAGCCCATTCTCAGCTTGGATAAATTTGCCAGTATGAAGGGTATGGTAAAATGTTTGGCCAAAGTGGATATTAAAAATTAATTCTTTTTAATTACTTGAGTTTTTTATATATTCTGGATATTAGTCCTCTGTGTTGGATGTATTCTTATGCTGACTTTTTGGCAGTTGCTTATCTGTAGCCTTCACTGTTTGTTCCTGGAGTCTGTACTTCACAATGTGTCTGTCTTTCTCTTTGTCTGGAGTTTTCTTCAGGAAGATGAGAGAGGTCCGCTGGTTTGAAAGCATGTTAGTGTTTCACCTGCACCTAAGGGAGGTAGTTCCACAGGGGATGGTGCACAAGCATGTGAGTGTGAGTGGAAGTGTGCCTTGAAGGACAGGGTGCTAGAGAATGTAGTTCCCCTGGAATTTAGGTTAGGGGAGTGCAGGTGTGCGGGCTCTGGTGCTGGCACGGTTTACCAGCGCAGTGAGCATTTGTAGATTCTCTGAATACCTCAGTCACCTACAGGCTTGTCATACTGTCCTTCTGGTATTCAGATCTGTCTGACTCCAGGAGCTGTTTGCCTGGACTCCACTGCAGTAGACCTGCAGAACAGGGCTTCAATGTTGAGAACATTGTCCCAAGAATCCCTATGTTGCCCAGAGTGGGGCTGTGGTGGGTGGGAGGGATCCGGTATCTGCTAGAGTAGAGGGACTCTGGATATGGGGCTCTGCACATACTCACTTGATGATGCACTCACTATCATGTTTAATTGGAAAGCACAGGGGTTCTCCCTGTTTTTTACTCTCAGATCTTAGCCTGCAGGGCAAATCTGAGTGTAGGAGATCCATCAGCTCAGTTGTGCTGCAGCTGAAGAACTTGGAATGGGGTATTGATGTCCACTGGGAGTCCAGCCACAGCAGCAGAACTGGGTGGCCACCAGTACAGATGCCTGCTGGGAGACCTAAAGGAGCCTCTACAGCTCTCCTCGGACTTGGCAGACCTGGCTGGCCCTGGGCAACTGGATGGCCTGGAGGACCTTGGTGGCCTGTAGAGCCAGGACAGGTGCCTTCTGGTGGGCCCTGGGCAGCCGTGGACCTGGTTGACCTGGCAGACTTAGGTGGCCTGGCGGACCTGGGTGGTCCGGTGGACGTGGGTGGCTTGTAGAGCTGGCAGCGGGCCGCCGAGGGACTGGGAGGCCCACCTTCTCTGTCTCAGATACTGAGCAGGGAGTTCTGTGTTAAGAGAAGCAGGCCCTGTGTGCTGCCTCTGCCAAGGAAGGAGGCCTGACAAGGGGAACTGCAAGGGAATTGAATATTTGCCACTCTCAGTCCTCAGAGAAGACCACGGGTGACCTGGACTTCAGCTCATGTTCTCGGTTCATGGGTTGTCCCCTCTCTCCCAGGAAGCCTCAATGCCGATGTTCTGGCTTCAGGTGCCCCTCCACACACCAATTTCGTAGTTTCAGATCGTCTGCCCCCATAAGGTATGCTAGTCGCGTCCATCTTGGGTCCCTCCAAAGTGAATAAATTATAATAAAGAAATATTATTTAATTTCTGGCAAGGATCATGATGTATCTGCCTGGTTCTTCACATTGCTTCAGGTTTCATGTGGCCACACGGTGATACCTTAATGAGGCTGTTCACTTAGCAGCTGCATCATAGCAAAGTAAACCCAGGCTTCAGATCTTGCCAGCTTTTACATTGACTGTTAACTACATGTATCTCATATCATCTCCTGAAAAAATACTCTCTTATTCATAAACAGAATTACAGATGATGTGAATAGCAGTTGCTATGCATTAAGCTTATTGTGCAATATTTTTCTAGAATATAATTCATTTATACAGTAATGTTCTTTGCTTTACTTCAATATCCACTATTATTGTTTGTAACCATCATTTATTTTTATATTTTATTTTATTTTATTTTATTTTATTTTTTTACTTCTTTGTGACAAATAACCTGAAAAACTCTGAAAGGAAGAAGAGATTCTTTGCAGTTACGGTTTCACATCATTTCAGTCCATGTAGGCCAAGGAGTTAATACAGAGCAGTTCTATTCACAGTGGCAGGGTTTTATGGTAGAGACAAGAAGTTCACATCAGAGTGTGCCAAAAAGTAGAGAGTTAGAAAAAAGCCTTGGACTGGCTTATGATATTCTAAGGCCTGTGCCTGGTGGTCTGCTTCTGCATTCTGTGAATTTTCTTCTAAAGATGCAGTAGTCTATTCAAATATAACTACCAGCTGGTGAATAAAGTTTCACAGTGCAATGTTATGAGAGATATTTCAAGTTCAAACCACGTTGCTCTTTCTGTGTAGGTGTGCCTGTGTGTGAGTGTAATTTTCTTTCCTATATTTTAGATATTTCTATTTGAGATCTTTCTGTTTTTTTCTAATATATCTGAATTGCAGAATGAGTACACAGGAACACTCTGAATAGAGATTGTAGATAATAAGGAAATTGAAAAGGAAGAATGGTTTGTTGCCATCTGAATTTCGTTATATTACAATTAGAAATAATTTTTGTATTAATTTCAGTGTCATTCTTGTGGAATCCACAACACTTATGTATTTGCCCTCACACGTAACTGGATCTTCAAAAGGTGCTGTGATCTCCAAGTAAGTGGCTTTAATTTTATACTCATACATGTCTATGGTAAAGTTTTAAGAAATTAATTCCAAAGGAACCTTGGTACCTAGAAAATTGGAAAATAGTTTTTATTTTTAACGAATGTGTAGTTTGCATTATGTGTACTTTTTCAAATGTATTTTCAGTGTTTTTATTTGTGAAAATATGCACTTGATTTAATATACTGGAATTTATTATTCATCATAAGTTTTCTATCAGAAAAAGCTACAGAGCAAGTGTGAAAACCAAATCTATGTTTCTTGGAGAAATATTTCTTAAACTGTACAGTTTGCTTCTAGGTTTGACTTTAACTGGATCTACAGCAATCAGTGCCTAGAACTCCATATATTCTTAACATTCCATCAAAAACTGTTAAAGCATTAGGAGTGCTTATTTGAGGGATATGGATTCATTTTAGAAAGTAGATGAATTTGGAAAAATAAGATTCATAGCTAATTAAAATAAGCTGTATTTAAACTAGACCACTTACATTTTAATTAGTTTAAAAATTAAATTTGACTTTGGAATAAGGAAGCAAAATATTTTAATATTAGATTTATTTTTATTGCTCATGTAAATATAAACTTTAACATAAGTAATTATGTTGAAATATAGTGAAATACTTTACCAAGATTAAGATAAGTAATAAGCGTCACCATTAGTGAAATTTGTGCACATGATGACAGTTATTCCTATGTTGTTTGTGGGTTTTATAGTTTTTTTCTCTGTGTGTAATATGTGATAATATTGATGTCGTGTTTTTAGATATGAAAATGACAGGAGGCAACAATTTAACAACTGTGACAAAATAGGGGTTCACAATGTTAAAGTTATAGTAACCCTTTATGTGTAGATCTGTGTAATATTTAAATGAGTATAGTGTATTTTTCTCAAATGAAGTCTTATAAGTTAGTACTTGTAGTAGAATATAAGCATTGTATTTGTTACATTGTAATTGCTTTCTTCTGAAGTGATTCTCTGAAAATTGTTGCTAATGAGTAAATAACTTGAATATCATTGTATCTTAGTATCGAATGGTCATTTTTTGTTTAATTAGGACATTCACAATTTTGCTTCAGTAAACAATAAAGCAGAAATTTGTTCACTGAAGTTTAAAGCAGCAGTACGTGTCCCACTAAAAGAAGACTTGGTATTTTTTTTTAATTTACATTTCTGAAATGTACTCTATTCTCATACATTACATCCTGACTAGAGTTACTTTCCTCCCTGAGGCCCCCACCTACCCTCTACTACAGATCCACTCCTCCTCCATTTCTCTTTAGAAAAGAGCAGGCTTCGCAGGGATATCAACTAGACATTGATAACAAGTTACAGTAAGTGCAGGCAAAAAGCCTCATGTCGAGACTGGAAAAGACAGCCCAGTAGAAGTAAAGGGTCACAAGAGGAAACAAAAGGGTCAAAGGCAAACCTCACTCCCACTGTTAGGAGTCTCACAAGGACATCAAGTCTCACAGCCATAACATATATGCAAAGAACCATGTAATCTCTGTGGTTGCCACTTTAATCTCCATTAGCCCCTATAGTACTGCTTAGTTGACTCTGTGGGCCATACTTTCCTGGTGTCTTCGACTCTTTTAGGTCCTACAATCATCTTTCCCCCTATTCTGCTAGGTTCTCCATGCTCCAGCTAATGTTTGCCTGTGGGTCTCTGCATCTGTTTCCATCAATTTCTGGATGAAACTTCTCTGCAGATGATTTTGCTAGGGGCAACAATCTATGAGGGTAGTAGAATACCATTTGGATTCAATTCATTGACTTTTGTTCCAGGCATGCTTAGTTCTATCCTTGGTCTCTAGGCTATACAGCACCCCTGCGCCCCTCCCCCCACAGACAGCTTTCCCCTCTGTTTCCATCCCCATCTGACCCCAGTGTACCCATGAAGTGTATTCTTTTTCTGCTTCCTAGGTAGATCCTTGCTTTCCTCCTAGAGCTCTCCTTGTTAACTAAGCCTCTGGCTTTTTATAATGATTATGCTTCAGTTAGTAGCTAATATTCACTTATAAGAGAATACATACATTATCTTTCTGGGTCTGGATCACCTCACTTGGCATGTTTTTATAATTCCATCCATTTGCCTGTAAATGTCATAATGTCATTTTAAAAATATTTTTTTATTTTGAAATAATTGTATACATTTGCCTGTATCCCAGCTGTAGCCCTCTTCCTCTTTCCCTCCCAACCCTCCCCTCTCTCCCTTATCTCCTCCTTGACCCCTTCCAAGTCCACTGAGAGGGGGTGTCCTCCTCTCCTTCTGTCTGGCCCTAACTTATCAGGTATCTTCAGTATAGTTGCAATGTCCTTATCTGTGGCCTAGCAATGCTGCTCTTCCCTCAGCGGGGAGGGGAAGCTCATGAGTTCATGTCAGAAACAATTCCTGTCCCCCTTACTAGGGAACCCACTTGGATACTGAGCTACCATGGGCTATGCCTGAGCAGGGGTTGTAGGTTATATCCATGCATGGTCCTTGGTTGGATAAACAGTCTCATAGAAGACCCCTGTGCTCAGATATATTTGGACCTTGTGGGGCTCCCTGTCCCCTCTAGGTTATACTAATTCCTCCTTCCTTCATCTGATTCCCTACACTCTGCCAAAGGCTTGGTTATGGGTCTCAGCATCTGCTTTGATACACTGTTAGGTAGAGTCTTTTAGGTGCCTTCTGTGGTAGGCTACTGTCCTGTTACTTGTTTTCTCCTATTTCCAATGTCCATCCCCTTTGTCCTTCTAGATGATGATTGATCATCTTACCTCTGAACCTCTTTCTTGTTTATCTTCTTTAGGTGTACATATTAGTATGTTTATCCTATCTTATAGGTCTAGTACCCACTTATAAATGAGTATATACCATGTGTGTCTTTCTGCTTTTGGGATACCTCACTCAGGATGATTTTTTTTTTCCTAGATCCCACCATTTGCCTGCAAAATTCATGATTTTCTTGTTTTTACTTGCTGAATAGTATTCCATTGTGTAAAAGTACCACAATTTCTGTATCCATTCCTCCGCTGATGGACATCTGGGTTGTTTCCAGGTTCTTGCTATTAAAAATAAAGCTGCTACAAACATGGTTGAGCAAATGTCCTTGTTGTGTACTTGAGAATCTTTTGGATATATGCCTAGGAGTGGCATAGCTGGATCTTGAGGTAGCACATGATGTCATTTTTTTAACAGCTGAGAAATATTCCATTGTGTAAATTCACCACATTTTCTTATCGATTCTTTGGTACAGTTCCTACCTATTATGAGTAAAGCTGCTATGAATATAAATGAACAAATTGTCCTTGAAGTAGGATGGAACATTCTTGGGGCATATGTGTAACTGTGTTATAGACGAGTCTTGAGTTAGATTTATGCTCAATTTTCTGAGGAACTACCATATTGAATACCATTGTGGCTGTATACATGTGCACTCCTTACAGAAATGTAGGGCTGTTCCCTTTGCTCTACATCCATGCCAGCAAGACATGCTCTTTGTGTTATTGATCTTAGCCATTCTGACAAGTGCAAGATGGAATCTCAAAGTAGTTTTGATTAACATTTCTCTGATGGCTAAGGATGCTGATCATTTATGTATTTCTCAGACATTTGAGATTCTTCTCTTGAGACTTCAGTTTAGATCTCTACTCCATTCTTTAGTTTGTCGATATCAAGTTTTTTAAAAATTCATTATACATTTTGAATATTATCACTTTGTAAGATGTGGATTTGGGGAATATATTTTCTCATTCTATAGGCTGCTCTTGTATCCTTCGGCTTACAGAAACTTTTCCATTTACGGTCCAATTTATAAATTGATGATCTTAGTACCTTGCTATTGGTGTTCTGTTCAAGAAGTTGTCTCCTGTGCAAATGCATACAAGTCTATTCACCACTTTCTTGTCTATCAATTTCAGTATATCTGGTTTTATGTTGACAGTTTTGATCTACTTGGACTTGAGGTTTTGTTTTTTTTTTTCAGGATCATAAATATGAATCTATTTGAATTTTTCTCCATGCAGACTTCCATTTAGACCATCACTATTTGTTGAAGATGCTTTCTTCTTTACATTTCTTTCCATTTTGTTTTTCTGGTTTCTTTATCAAAAATTAGGTGTCCTTAGGTGTGTGGATTCATGTTTGCATCTTCAATTCCATTCCATTGATCAACTTGTCTGTTTTATGACAATAATATGTGGTTTTAAATTATAGCATTGCATTAGAGGGATGGTGATACTCTGGAAGGTTTTTTGTTTGTTTGTTTTGTACAGAACAGTTTTAGTCATTCTACATTTTTTTCCCTATTTTTCCATAAGAAGTTCATTTTTGGCCTTTCAAGTTCTGTAAAGATTTTTTTGGAATTTTAATGGAAGTTGCATTAGATCTGTAGATTGTGTTTAGTGGGATGACCACTTTGACTATGTTAATCTTACAAACCATGAGCAAGGTAGATTTTTCCATCTTTTGAAAGTTTCAATCTCTTTCTTCAAAGACTTGAAGTTTTTGTATACAAACCATTCCCTTTCTTGGTTAGAGTTACCCAAAGATATTTTATATTGTTTCTGGCTACTGTGAAGTGTGCTATTTTACTGATTTTTTTCTCTCAGTCCATTTTGCCATTTGTATATAGAAAGGTTACTGTTTTGTTTGTTTGTTTGTGTGTGTGTGTGTGTGTGTGTGTGTATGTGTGTGTGTTAGTATTGTATCCTGCTACTTCACTGAAGATGTTGAACAGTTGTAAGAATTCTCTGGTAGAAATTTGGGAGTCATTATGTATACTAACATATCATCTGTAATTATTGGTACTTTCTCTTCTTCCTTTACAGTTTGTAAAGGAATAAGTGGTCTTATTTCTCTAGATACAGAGTCAAGTACTATTTTCAATAATTATGGAGTGGACTGTTAATTGGCCTTTTTTTCTTTGCAGCTTTTAATATTCCTTCTTTGTTTTGTATGTTTAGTGTTTTGATTATCATGTGGTGAGGGAACATTATTTTCTGTCCTTAACTGGTGTTCTTTATTCTGTCAGTACAGTTCTAGGCATGTTCTTCTTTAGGCTAGAAAAATTTTCTTTAATTTTTGTTGATAATATGCTTTGGGGGCATTGAGCTGTGATTCTACAATTCCCATTACTCTTAGATCTGGTCTTTTTATGTATCTTAGATTTTCTGTTTATTTTTTAAATTTTTTTGTTATGAATACATTTTTAAATTCTTTATTAATTACACTTTATTCACTTTGCATCCCTCCTGTGTTTCCCTCCCTTCTCCCATCCCAATACCTCCCTTCCTCCACCCTCTGCATGCATGCTCCTCCCCAAGTCCACTGATAGGGGAGGTCTTCTTTTCCTTCTTGTTGATCCTAGTCAATTAGGTCTCATCAGGAGTGGCTGCATTGTCTTCTTCTGTGGCCTGGTAATGCTGCTTCTCCCTCAGGGGGAGGTAATTAAAGAGCAGGCCAGTCAGTTCATGTCAGAGACAGTCCCTGTTCCTATTACAATGGAACCCACTTGGATACTGAACTGCCATGGGCTATATATGTGCAAGGTCTTAGGTTATTTCCATGCATGGTCCTTGGTTAGAATTATCAGTCTCAGGAAAGACCCCTGTGCTCAGATTTTTTGGTTCTGTTGCTCTCCTTGTGGAGTTCCTGTTCTCTCCAGATCTTACTGTTTCCCATTTCTTTCATAAGATTCCCTGCACTCTGCCCAAAGGTTGCCCATAAGTCTCAGGATCTGCTTTGATAGTCTGCAGGGCAGAGCCTTTCAGAGGTCCTCTGTTTCAGGCTCCTGACTTGTTCCCTTTTTTCTCCTTCTTCTGATGTCCATCCTCTTTGCCTTTCTGGATAGGGACTGAGCATTTTAGCAAGAGTCCTCCCTCTTGAGTAGTTTCTTTAGGTGTACAGATTTTAGTAGGTTTATCCTATATTATATGTTTATATGAGTGAGTATATACCTTGTGCGTCTTTCTGCTTCTGGGATGCCATGTTGCTTTGCCTTTTGTTGGTTGTGCTTTTTCGCTGGCCTCTGCCCATCTCTCTGTCTCAGGTGTCTCTGTATAATTTGGTGGCTAGAACATGGTGATGAAGAGAGATGGAGGAATGGGTATACTGTGGGGAGAGGTAAAGAGATGGGGTCCTTGGTCAAGTGGCCTATCTGCATTTTGGATAACTGGTATGGCCTCTGGTCTGGCAGGGAGTCTCTGAATTGGGAACTGGGCCAAGATAATCAAGAGGTGAGAGGGTATTGTAAGTAGGGATGGAGTTCACTGAAAAATTGAAAGAGTTCTGCTGGCAAGCAGCCTATATGGAGTTCTGAACTCTGGTTCAGAAAGGAGTTTCCACCTGGGATAACTTACCTGTTCTGGCTGGCATGGCCTGCACTTGACCATATGATGTTTGCCTGAGCTGCTGACTAGGACAAGGCTACATGCATGTGGCATAGGAAGGAAAGTAATGGTGGAAAGGGTTATAAGACCTGAACCAAGGGCTTGTGAGAGTTTAATGTGCAAGCACCCTAACTTTTTGCTGACATGGCATGCCTTGGCGCAGGACATCTTGTGTTTTTTTTGTAAAGATGATACACACATATTCTTTACATCATTTGAGCAGATGATCCTAGACTTTTATCTTTTTTCACTTTCTTGAATGAATAAGAGACTCTTTGTCATCATAAATTTTGCTTAAATGACTATAAAAATTAACAATGGATATTTATACTGTGGTATTTTCAGCTCAGAATTTGATTTAATACAGCAGTATCTGAGCATAAATAACCCCAAATCACAAAAGATTAGTAAATAAGAAAATTGAGTTGCTTACATTTTTTGAAATACAATATAGGAATTTTATATCACAAATTTGGCATGTTTTCTATTACTGTTCACTGTTCTTTAATGGCTAGGCCATTTCTAAGGACCTTGTGTATCTTCTAATGAGATTAATGTGATTAACGATTGTGAAATTCTCATATCCATTGACTCCTAAATTACCAGTACGGATAGAATCCTTTCTGATGTATCCTTCCCTAAGTAAGGAAAAAAAATGAAGTGAGCTAATATAGAATAATTTATCAATTTAATTTTTTAGAAGGCATAAGTTGAAAGTATCTACCTAAAGTAATGATCCTTTCACCAAGAAGCACAACCAAAAGAAATGTCACTAAATGTTATTGGTTAATGTTTCATATAATTGTTTTCATTGTGTTTAATATATTTCTTTAGTTCTTTTTCTAAGTCTTCTCTCATTAAAAAATAAAACGATATTTTGAAACAAATTGCTAGATACAAATAAAAGTTAAGAAAATACATTTAAAAGAGTAAATGACAGTATGATGTAGTAGGCTTACTTTTTTAATCAATGCATTCTACCACAGAAGTATGTTATTTCATTAATATCCTAGTCTAGATTATAAAATTAATCATAAGGCTATCAAGATCAAGGGTCTTTGATTTGATTCCATTAGTCCACCAGTCTGTTTCTATGCCAGTACCATGCAATTTGTATCACTGTTGTTCTATAGTACAACTTGAGATCACCGATAGAGGTATTGCCAGAAGTTCTTTTATAATGCAGTGTTAGCAATTTTGTGTTTTCTGTTTTTCCATATGAAATTGAGAATTGTTCTTTCAAAGTCAGTAAATAATTGTGTTTATAATTTGATGGGAATTGCATTGACTCCGTAGAATGCTTTTGGAAAAATGGCCATTTTTACTATATTAATCCTACTGATCCATGAGCATAGGAGACCTTTCCAGTTCTGATATGTTTATTTTTTTCTACCTTGCTTTTTATTGGGATTAATTTTCATTGTGATGAAAACAATTTGTTTCTTCTTTGTGTCTGGGAGCTATTCCCAGTACTGTTCCTACTTGAATGGTTTCCTATTGGCATATCTGTCAAGTCCTCTGGAACTCAGCAAGAAGAACTCTCATGCAAGATCCCTGGGCTCCAAAATCCTCTTATTCTACAACATAGGGTTTCTTTTCTCTTTTACCTTTTTTCCCCTTTTTGCTCTTTCTTTCCCTCCTTCCTTCTTTCTTAATATTTTTATTATTTATTACAATTTATTCACTTTGTGTTCCAGCCATTGCCCCCTCCCTCTGTCTCCTCGAGGTTCCACCCTCCCTCCCTCTTCTCCCTCTATGCCCCTCCCATAGTCCCCTGATAGGGGAGGTCCTCTTCCCTTTCTATCTATCCCTAACCTATCAGGTCTCATCAACATTGGCTGCATTTCCTTCCTCTGTGGACTGGCAAGGCTGCACCCCCAAGGGGGAGGTGATCAAAGAGGAGGTCATGTCAGAGACAGTCCTGCTCCCCTACTAAGGAACCCACTTGGAGATTGAGCACCCAATGTTCTACATCTTATCAGGGATTATAGTCCTCTTCATGCTTGGTTTTGGTTGGTGTATCAGACTCTGCAGGGACCCCTGGGCCCAGATTTTTTGGGTATATTGGTCTCCTTGTGGAGCTTCTGTCCTTTCCAGGACTTTCTATCTCTCCCTTCTATCATAAGATTCCCTGTACTCTGCCCAAAGTTTGGCTGTGAGTCTCAGCATCTACTTCATTACTTGGTTGGGTGGAGCCTATCAGAAGCTCTCTGTGGTAGGCTCCTGTCCTCTTTCTGGTCTTCTTCCACTTCTGATGTCTATCCCTTATTGATCCACCCAAGAACCTCAAAAATATGGAATACTTCATGGTTTTGCCTGTCATCCTTGCATAGGGGCCATGCTAATGTCTGTATCATTCTGATCTAAATATATGTGCTGCTGAAGTTAGCACTTTAAGTGATACATTTATTTTTTACATCTTTTTCAGTTTATATGCTGACTCTAGCTCTCTCCCTCATCTCTTCCTGGTCAAACCCTTCCTTCCTCTTCTCTCTTAAACCCTTTCCCTAGTCAACTGACAGTGGGAGTTCTCCTCTGCTTCTGTCTCTCCTTTGCTTGTTAAGTCTCATCAGGAATGGCTGCATTGTATTCCTCTGTGGCTTGACAAGGCTGTACCCCCCCAGGGGGAGGTGATCAAAAAGCAAGTGGCTGAGTTCATGGTAGAGACCCCAAATTTTCTTCTAATAGGTTTAGTGTATCTGGTTTTATTTTGAAATCTTTGATCCACTTGGATTTTAGTTTTGTGCAGGATGATAAATTTGGGTTTATTTGCATTCTTCTACATGGAGGCATCCAGTTAGACCAGCATCATTTGTTGAAGATGCTATTTGTTTTCCATTGTATGGTTTAAGCTTCTTTGTTAAAAATCAAGTGTTCATAGGTGTGTGGATTTATTTATGGGTTTTCAGTTTAATTCCAGTAATCTACCAGTTTGTTCCTATGCTGGTTTTATGTTGTTTTTATTACTGTTCCTCTATATTAAATCTTGAGATCAAGGATGGAGATATACTCACTTTTAAGCAAAATATTAGCCATATAATATAGGATAACCACACTACAATCCACAAAATTAAAGAAGCTAAATTACAAGGAAGACCCTAAAGATGATGCTTAATTCTCATTCAGAATGGCAAACAAGATAGACACTAGAATTGGCAGAAGAGAGGGAAGAGGACAAGAGCCTATCATAGAGGTCATTTGAAAGACTACACCTAGCAGGGAATGGAAACAGATGCTGAGACTCACAGCCAAACTTTAGCAGAACAGCAAAAGTTTTATGGAACAAAGGTGTTATAGAAGAAACCAGAGAGGCCAGGAGCTCCAGAAGGAGACCAACAACACCAAAAATTCTGGACCCAGTGCATCCCACAGAAACTGATAAATCAACAAAGGACAATGCATGGACAGGACCTAGACCTCCTGATAAGATATAGTCTATAGGCCGCTCAATCTATGTATGTCTTGTCTTAAGGGGAACAGGCGCTGCCTCTGACATGGACTCAGTTGCATGCTCTTTGATCACTTAACCCTTGCCAGGCCAAGGGGGAAGAGGACCAAGGCAGTCTTGATGAGACTTGATACGTTAGGGTCAGATGGTAGAAGAGGAGTATTCTCCCTTTCAGTGGACTAGGGGTGGGGGAAATGGGGCTAAGAAGGAATTAGGGTGAGACTGAGAGGAGATGAAGGAGGGGCTACAATTAGGATATAAAGTGAATAAATTGTGAAAATTAAAAAAAAGAACAAATGGGTCATTTTTCAATATTTTACTTTTAATCATATATTATGTAGAGATTTAATCAATCAGCAAGGGAATGGTAAGTTACACATTCTGGTGTTGATTATATAGGAGATAAACACACCTAAAATAAACAGAATAAGAAAATCATTTGTACTTTCAGAATTGGTCTATGATTTGTTTGGGTTTTTGTTTCTTAAAATGAATCTTGCTTTCACCTTTGTCTAGCCTGCTATTCCCTAGATATACCAGGGTGTCCTCGAACATACAACATCTTTCAATGGTGACTTTGAAAATAAAGTTTTTGTTATGTGTGATGTTTCAAATAAGACAGTTTTTAAAGCAGCACTGAACACACAATAGATCATAAAACCATTTTACTTATGAGAATGTGATCCACAATTATAACAAAAGCTATTAAAATATTACTTTAAATTTTTAAAATAATGGTTAGTGGGGGTGGGTGGCATGGGTGTGCACATTTTTTTCAAGTTCCCATTTCAGAAAAAGACTTTGGATTACCCTGGAGCTGGAATTCTAAGCAATTTAGAGCTGCCTTACATGGATGTTGGAAAACACAACTGTTGTCTTATGGAATAGCAATAAGTGCTCCTAAATCTGGGCAGTCTTTCTAGCTCTAAGACATTTAATCTAATTAAATACAAAGGAATAACCGGATAGGGATTAGTAGAGGAAACTGACACTTAAGATAAAATTTGAAATGTTTCAGTGGAATGACTATGCTCAGAAATGAGCACATTGTCAGTTGCTTCTGGGACAGATATTATTTACTAGTTTCTTTTAGGGATACTGAGTTATTTACATGTTCATCAGATTCTTCCTAATGTGGCACTGCAAGCAGTGCTGTGAGGAATTGGGATATGAAGGGATAAGTCAGTTATATGTGAGACTAAAACAAAGATCTGGATCAGCAAAGCACTTTGACAGAGTAAAATGTTTCCATTCTTTTTAAAAATTAATTAAATTTATTTATTTATTTATTATAATTTATTCACTTTGTATTTCTGCTGTATCTCCCTCCCTCATCTCCTCCCAGTCACACCCTCCCTCCTGCTTCTCCCCCTATGCCCTTTCCCTAGTACCTGGGTAGGGGAGGACCTCTATCTTAACCTATCTTATCAAGTATCATCAAGGATGGCTGCATCATCTTCCTCTGTGGTATGGTAAAGCTGTACCCAGCAAGGGGGACTTAATCAAAGAGCAGGCTACTGAGTTCATGTCTGAGACAGCCCCTGTACCTTTAACTAGAGAACTCACTTGGAAACTGAGCAGCCAGTAAGCATACTCTGAACAGGGGACCTAGGTCCTCTCCATGTATTATCCTTAACTGGGGTATAAGTCTCTGCAGACACCCCTGGGCCCAGGTATTTTGGCACTGTTGTTTTCCCTGTGGAGTTTCTGTCCCCTCCAGGTCTTTCTATCTCCCTACTTTTCTATAAGGATTCCTGCACTTTATCCAAAGTTTGGCTATGAGTATCAGTATCTCCATTCATACCCTGGTGGATACAGTCTTACAGAGATCCTCTACGGCAGTCTCCTGTCCTGTTCTTCATCTTCTCTTACCTCCAATGTCTATCCTGTTTCCCCTTCTAAATGAGGAATAAGCATCTTTTCAAGGGTCCTCCTTGTAGTTCAGCTTCTTTAGGACTATAGATTTTAGTATGTTTGTCCTATATTATATGGCTAATATCCACTTATAAGTGAGTATATACCATATGTGTCTTTATGCTTCTGCGTTACCTCACTAAAGATAATCTTTTCTAGATCCCACCAGTTGCCTGTAAATTTCATGATTTCTTTGTTTTTAATTGCTGAGTGGTATTCCATTGTGTAAATGTACCACACTTTTTTTATCCATTCCTCTGTTAAGGGACATCTAGGTTGTTTCCAGTTTCTGGCTATTATGACTAGAGCTTCTGTGAACATGGTTGAACATGGTTGAGTCCTTCTTGACTTAGGGAGCGTATTTTGGGTATAAGCCCAGGAGTGGTATAGCAGGGTCTTTTTAAAATTACATTTTTATTTTTATATATTAATTACAGTTTATTCATTTTATATCCCAGCTGTAGCTCCTTCCCTCATTCCCTCCATACCACCCTCCCTCCTTAAAGGTAGCATTATTCCTAATTTTTTTGAGGAAGCATCAGAATGATTTCCAAAGTGGTTATAGAAGTTTACATTCCCACCAGCAATGGAGGAGTGTTCCCCTTTCTCCACATCATCTCCAGCATGAGTTGTCACTTGAGTTATTCATCTTAGCCATTCTGATGGGTGTAAGGTGAAATCTCAGGGTTGTTTTTATTTGTATCTCCCTGATGACCAACGATGATGAGCATTTCTTTAAGTGTTTCTCTGCCATTCTATAATCCTCTATAGATATGTCTCTGTTCAGATCTGTGCCCCATTTTTTAATTGGATTATTTGATATTTTGCTTTTTATCTTCTTTAGGTCTTTATCTATTCTGGATATTAACCCTCTGTCAAATATACAGTTGGTGAGGATCTTTTTTTTGTCTTCTGGCTGTCAATTTGTTCTGATGACAGTGTCCTTTGCTTTACAGAACCTTTTCAGTCTCATGAGGTCCTATTTATTGATTGTTGATCTTAGAGCCTGTGCTGTTGGTGTTCTGTTCAGGAAATTGTCTCCTGTGCCAATGAGATCAAGACTCTTCCCAAATTTTTCTTCTAACAGGTTTAATGTGTTGAATTTTGTCAAATGCTTTTTCAGCGTCGAAGGAGACAATCATGTGGTTATTTTTTCCTTCAGTTTGTTTATATGGTGGATTACATTGATGGATTTCCATATATTGAACCACCCCTGATGCCTGGAATGAAGCCTACTTGGTCATTGTGGATGATATCTTTAATGTGTTCTTGGATTCATTTTCTGAATATTTTATTGAGTATTTTTGAATCAATGTTCATAAGCGAGATAAATGTACTCATTCTTATACTTTTAATTTATTTGTATAAGTAATATTATATTGTTTATTGGAGAACATGTAATATATACTATATTCTAGATTTTTGCTTATCACATAAAAATTAGGGTCTGAAATATTGTTTGAAATAACAGGTAATATCTCTCCAGGAAGAGTCTAAAGGAAGGTGCAATTTTTCATATACATGTCAAGACAAAGAGAAGAAGAAATTGCAGAAGCAATTTTTATAGCCAAAAAATGAGTAATGAAACACAATTTTGCCAATTATATATAAGAACAGCAGGAATACACATATGTAAATATATAAATATATATGTATATGTATGTTTGTATGTATATATGTATGTATTAAGACTGAAAATGATCTTACTATTCAGCTTTATCATTATTCCTCATAGAGTATATTCCACTGGAGACTGCAAGCTGCATAAATTTAGAATTTGTAACTATATCACAAAATAGCTGGGATCATAGGGAAATAAGGGGGAGGGAGTTTGAGATTGGGAGGAGATGACAGAGGTGGCTACAGCCAGAATACAAATTGAATAAATTGTCATAAATGATAATAATAAAAAAGATAAAAATAGCTGGGATCAGAGTAGACACATATGAAAACCCTAGGGATCTTAGGGATATCTTTGAACCCTAGTTCTTACTAACAACCAAACAAAAGTTTATATTTATAAGAAGTAAGTTATAAATATTTCTGCTAACCCGAGTAATTAGGAACATTTGTTGCATTTGGGCACCTATAACAAAAGTAACAGAGTGGGTGGTTTGGACAAATAATATTTATATGTAACTATTCTAGAAACTACAGAATCTATGATCAAACACTAGAAAATGTGATTTTTAGTAACCATTTACTTCATATTTTATAGATGATTGCCTGGCTGCTTTGTCCTCATAGAATCATCATATGGTCACTATTACCAACCCCCTCCCCCATTTTTAAAAGAAACAAAGACATATGGAGAATTAAATGAACTTAAAGCTTGATTTTTTTTTTCATTCACCTTTTCATGATGAAAAAAAAAAAAAAACAACTAGATTTGAACCGTATTGTTGCCTACTTGGCTTGAATAGAATCTTGGATATCTGCCATAGAGTAACATCATGAAGACTGATAAAGATCTTGGTAACGTTTGTTCCAAACACTTTTAAGTATAATATAACATTTAGAGTTATCTTTTCAAGCTCAGAAGATAATCAACTCAGTGGCATTTTGACCATTCTAGATTAAGAAGAGCTGTATGCCACATCTCTCCATATTTCAAAATAATTTTCTTTCCCTCACTTTTATTCCCTAATGAATTAGCAAGAAAAAAATTTTGGTCCAGAATCTGTAAACAATTTAACTTCTTTTGACACTTTGTTCCCTAAGACTAGAAAGGTTGCAATATGTACTCATGAAACAGCTTTAGCGGGCATCTGAGAATATCTAGAAAAACTGATACAGGATAGAGTATCAGTAGTTACAAAAAGATAGGTGAAATACCATTTCATTTTTCTTTGGGCTATAAAGAGTGGTATTTTTCACTGAATTTCTAGATTCATGAACATTAAGTATAATAGAGTTTGTAAAAATCATACAATTTTAACTAAATTATTTTCAGATTTCTCTAATAATCATAATAATAATTTGTTTCATAAGAATATGAACAGTAACAGTTCTTAACTGTTCTTAACAATTTTCAGATTTCTCCAAAGGCTACTTTATTATCTGTTTCTGACTTAAAAAAAAAGAAAAGAAAAGGGATATGAAGCCCAGATCCAAAAACTTTTATGTACTATGATAAAAATAGATGAAAGATGAGAGATTGCAGATAGTGAACAAAATGAACTTGTAGATTATCTGTGGGTTTGAATCAGCCATTCTCCTCATGTCTCCATTATCAAAGAGATGACAATGAGTCACATAGGAAAAAATAAGATTCAATCTTTATTATTCTTTCCATTCTGTGTATGGTTTCTATTTTACATGTAAATGTATCAAGCTATTATACCCAAGGCAGCCTAAAATTAAACTGTCTATCAAATGCTTAAATTATACAAAATATTATATTTACCTTACTTTTTAACAAAAGGTATTACAATACTCAGATTTACTACCAAAATATGTATTAATAGAATTAAAGCACAGAATAATTATGAAAGTGGGAAAAACATGAACAAGAATATGTTGCTAAGAATGTATAATTCATAATATTCAAATGGAATAAAAGGGAATGGAGGTATTTTTGATAACTTTACTTAGAAATAGTATTTTTCATGGTCAAATTTAAGTATGTATATGTAATTAGTAAATATTGATTCACAGCTTAGTGATCAAAGTAATCATGAACAATTAAATGGGTAAAAATTATGGGTCTGGCATACCTGAAATGTATGAAAAGAGACAGTTATCACAGATTGTGGTTTACTCTGTTATTTCCAGAACTGCAGCTAGAAATTTAAAAGTTGCATATATCCTACTTTGATATTAACGGAACAAACATGGAAATGATTTAAAGTTGTTTTTGTTTCGTTCTGTTTTGTTTCTGTTTTTTTTTTTTTTTTTCCTGGAAAGCAAGTTCTTTCTACAATCACTTTGGGAGAGAATTTCTGCTGTTTAGTCCGAAGATTTACCCTATGTTTGACTCACTATTTAAAAGTAAAAGAGGAATATTTCACTAATATTTATAAATTATGTGAGACATTTTGGCACATGCCTCTAACCCCAGCACTCAGGAGTCAAAGAGAGGGCACATCTCTATGAGTTCCACGTCATCTTTATTTAACTAATGATTTTCAGGATAACAAGGGATACACAATGAGATCCTGAGAACATGAAATGGTAAAAATACCAAAATTTCAAATTTTTGTGTTTTTCTAATTTTAGAGTTTTTAAAATACTAATGATATATTGTAGATAATTATAATTATTTAATATCTATTATCTTTAATAAAATAGAGACTTTTTAAAGAAAAATTTGTTGTGTACTGTTGCCATTCTTTCTCTTTTTTCTTCTGACAGTCATGAAATGCATAGTGATTATGATGCTGATCGGAGTTCTTTCCATGTGGACAATGGCTTAAGAACCTGTGAGTCTCTCAGTGAAATGTTTCTGTTTTTTTCTTTTAATTGCTTTTTATGTGAAGAATAACAAAACTGAAATATTCACCAAGGGTGGTTATGATGATAGAAAAGAAATCCCTAGAGATTTATGGCCAGATGGAGATTTATTTGTTGGTTGTTTTTCTTGAGTATCCATTTGAGGACTCTGCCCCCATCTTTTCTTTTACTACTGAGTCTGTTTCCATTAGCATATAGGGAACATGTTTAAATATCTGGTCTTTAAGTTGTTTTTGAATTTTATTGAACTCTTTAAATCTAACTCTTTAAATCAATGTATTGTTAAGACTAGAGTTGTAAAAATATAGTTTTTCACTTAGCATTATTAAATAAATACAGTTCTCAAAAGGGGCGGGCAAAGTTACACAAAGGTGGCTTCCAAAAATTACAGTTTGGCTTTCAAATGATCATTCTTGTACAGATAAAAAGCTTACTGTTTGAACATTGTATTTATTAAGATTTAAAATGTGTTGTGAAAAAAATACTTTAAAAATGGGTAGAATGATGGACAGGAAACTGATCATAGGGATGTTCTGGTTAACCATAGCCACAAAACAAAGCATGACAATCACAGTGGCACATAAGCAACATAAAATCAGATGTAGCTCTTTGGTCTTGTATTTCTGGAATGGCTGGGCTCACTTGCATGACTTACCTCATGGTCTCTCAAGCATTTATAATCAGATGAAAGGTGGAGCTTGGAATATTTCAAAGCTGTTTCATTCATGTATCTTTTGTTTAATGGTGCCTCCCCTTCATGTCTGATTTGGAGATTTTGGCTTAGAATCTTAGAAGTCAGATTTCTATACAGCTAAGGCATCTCAAAGAATAACATCTGGCTTTTAAAAGAGCAAAGAGAAAGCATTAGGCAGATGTTTCCTCATATAGTATCATAAGTCATGGCACTCTTCTACTGCTGTTTAGCACACAGCATTTGTTCAAATCAAGTAACTAAAGTTGGTTTATCATATCACTTCATTCTAGTGGATTTCAAGGAATTTATCAAGGTGATTTAAAACTACGAAAAAAAGAAATATGAATACCTTTCTTGTGTCTTTAGTCATTTCGAACTCAGTTTTCATTTTATTTTGTTATGTGAATTGCTTCATAAGTAATCAAACTGGGACATTCAAGAGTGACCATTTTCATATATATGAATACATGTATTAAATTTAAATAGTAAGGAGTTTCCTTTTATGAGATTCTTTATTAAGGAATCTTTAATTGTAGAGGAGAATTATATATTTTGGTATGTCAAGCTTGAGATCAGGTCACCAATAGTTTCTTATTAAAATGCCTTATAATATCATTATATAATGTTTTCAACACTTTATACTTCCTAAAAATATTTATTGGAACAATGCTTTGTTTGAATAATATATTATTTATCAACTCTCTCTGTGTCATGTTTTCATAGCAATTAAATCTAACTACATCAAAGAATTCTTCTGTTCAACGCATACAATTTTCATGGAAGCAAAAGGATCCTCAAGCCTGGAGATTTACTATCTTCCCTTTGACATGCATATTCGCTATTGTGCCATCCTGAGCAACAAAGTGGTAAGAACCAAATTGCGCTCTGTAGTTCTTCCATTATGGGATGCATAGAAGAGTTATCAGTAAAGGCAACTTGGAGTAACTGGGACTCTGGAAACATTCATGTTTCTAGTCCTCAGATTCTAAGGGAAGGAGTTTTTTCCAAAATACTAAGAGTCCCACTACTTTGTTGATAAATTTTATTGTGGCTGAATATAGATGTTCCATGGAACTTCCATGACTGTTTTTGTCTCAGTCTTTCTGAGTTAGAGGTCTCATGCATCATACTTAATCCTTTATTTATGGTTTATAAAATATTGAGGGAATGAACAGACTAAGACTGGCTTCTCCTCAGAGATTCATTGGGGAAGGATCTGCTTCTAACCTCACAAGCTGTTTATGAAATTAATTTCATTTTACCTGTGGCATTCATTAAGCTTGGTACTTAACAGCAACAAAAGAGAGAACAAATTCAGGGATGGAGAGGAAGAAAATAATGAGAAGGGAGAAGAAAGTAACTCAGTGAGAAACTGACTCTGAGATAATGATCTAAGGAAAAAATTTAGAATCCTCAGATTGTATAGTCACACAGCCACTCATACCATGTGTGTTTACTATATTTAACTAATCAATGAAATTAGGAGATACTGTATGTGAAGATCACTGTATTCTAATAATTATAAGATATACTTTAATTATACATGTACACTTGCCACTGAGCAAAAATATGTTTTGGCTTTATCCTATTATGTGCCTATAATTGTAGCTCAGTAATAGAAGGGTTATACAGCATGCGCAGGCCTTGCACTTCATTCTTAGCCCTGGAAAAAAAAATCTTTTAGGATTCAACTACATTCCTTTATATATGAAATGAATGAAAATAAATATAGTTATTCTTTGTTAGCAGTAATTAGATCAAGTGCTTAAAATACCTTTTAAAATTAAATTATAATTATAGAAAATGCATTTGCAAGAGTAGAATTACAAAACTGATTTTCTGTCTTGAGTAGACTACTTGAATATTATCTATTATCTGCTTACATGAATTACTTAAAATATAATCAAGCTTATTTCGGCATCTCCACTTATCAAAACACACTTGTCATTATTTTGTCCTTGCCAGAGAAAACACTGAAATAAAACAAAAATCTTAGAAATATGTTGCTACCTGTTAGAAACAGTATAAAATTTAAAGTATTAGGCTGAAGTGTAGTTGCATTAGTTTTTATATTCAAACACATTGCTAATTATATTGAAAAATACAATTACATTGTTTTTTTTAAGCAGCTTACATGAATTTTATTAGGAAGTACATATGTGATAACAATAAAATAAATATACCCTCCTTTTATTCTCAAGTATTCATAACATCGTGAATTCATAAACAATACACTACATTGTACTATGACAGTGAGAAAATTAAAAGTATGCTACACTACATTAGGGAACGTTAACATAATTGTCATTAAAAAGAGATATAGGTGCCCTTTAAATTAGAATACACTTAATAAATCACACAGTCAAGCATATGCCATTAAATGATCATGCGGCAGGCAGATGAGTTGTAATCAACTGCCAAAGACCTTTCCATGATGAAGAAAGACTAATACATCCCATTCCCTGTTTAATTTTCTTTCCAAGAAAGCTTTGAACTCATGGTGATAATTTGTTTCCCAATGTCTACAAAGCAGCCAGCCCTGAAGATACCTGATAAAACAGGGTCAGATGAAAGGG